GTTGCCAAATGAAGTAGATTGTTCGTGGCTTTCTCATCTTTTTGTTCTTTATCAACTGACTGTCGGCGATGGTTTCCAAGCTACCTTCCTCGGGGAGGCAACAATTGAAAGGATGAGCAGGGCTCGTTTGGTCATCTGAATGGAAATAGATAGATTAGAAAGGCCGAAATCTTGAAAGAGATAACTTGAAGGAATGTCATCCCTTTAAATACAATTTAATTTGATGAAGAATGAGTGTGGTCTCAGCAGATAAATGGATATGAAGCTGAGAATAGCCAGTTGTACTACCTGCGATTTTCCCACTTTCAGTGCTGCTTGATTATCAATTTCGCCAGGCTTAAGTATGACCTTATACGGTCCATACATTTTCATCAAGTACATTTTGTGGCACTCTAAGATGCCTGGTTACGAGGCTTACGCCATGCTAGGATAGACAACTGTTCGTGTTATGTCGTAACTGTTTTATCGGGCATGTTCAGTTTCTGTCTATACTATACCCAGTTCCCCGGATTCTATATTCCGAATATATTATGCTTTAAGACACTTGAATCGAGCTTATAGCTCCAGTCGAAGGTGAATTGTCGCATCTGCGCACATCGTCTTACCAGAGGTTTTTCATTCAAACGAACAAGACTGCCCACTCTACAAAACCAGTCTGAGACGGGAAATATGAGTGGTGATTCTTCTACAAACACTGCTTTTAACAACACGCTACACCTTCGATTCAACAACTTTCAATGAATAGTTTAAAACGGTGCAAAAAAAGACCGCTAATGTTTCCGCCTGCCACGTTTGGTAGAGTAAATGTTTTTTTCCAGTTTTCGGTATTTGAATGGGTTTTTATTGCAATGACTCCAAGCTGGCAGGTAGCCTGTGAATCATACCTTAAATCTATGGAAAGTTTCACTTACTGGGAGCATTTAGTGGCCCGTAAGAAAGTGCACTCTTGGGGGAGGCCATTATATTTCATACAAGATTTGTTGTTAAGTGACTTTGCTGAAGAGTGGCTACTCCTCATGAACGGTCTCCCCTTTAGACACCCTACTAGGACTTAACTTATTCAATTTTGAGTCTGTTCTGTGGCCGTTTAAAGAAGGTCACTTACGAGGATGAGTGAGATGGTAATCCTCTTTGTTACAAGTGGCGTCATTCCTTTTGATATAAGCAACTGATAAACTCAACTAAAATGTTATTCGTTCTAGTTCTCTGGTGCTGTGCGTTTCGCTTACTGCTTGGTCCAACCCAGCAACATGGGTAGGAGAGCTGACCTATCTCTTGCTAGAGTTTCGCGGGCGGGACCAAAATCAATATCATGGATAACTGCAGGTACTGTCGTTTGTAAGGAAGAAATTCTAAGGCATCGTGCCTGTTGACACCTTCACCGCCTCACTTGGGGAATTACAAAAGTATCGGGTTTTTAGTGTCGGTCAGTTAGCATTCTTGAGTTCATTAGCTTGGAACAAGTTGGTTGGTCTGAATAACGGTTAAAAGTGTCCATTAATTCGGACTTCTACTCTTGGTTTGAATTTAAATCACTTCCTTGGACTGAAAAATCACCATGGTGTTTCCATTAGCAGTCACAGAGCCTTAGCATAAGAGATAAATCATGCGCGGTTGTCTCTTGCTCAACTACGCTTACAATGGCATAGATTTTCCAAGCCAGGCCGGTCACCTCCGACCACCCTGTCAACAGGAGGCGTGGATTCCGACCGAGCAACAAGGTGGTGTTCGAATAAGTTGGCCTGGTAGCTTGCTGCTTGAGTTGGACACCAACACACACGTCCACATCACACGCGTACACACGTAAACCCGAATGCAACTAACGTGTAATTATAGGTCGTCGACTTAGTCACTCGGGGCTTGCCAAAAACTGTTCGACACGACGTCGCGCCGATCTGTCTGCGTGCGTTCGTACATGGATGTGCAGCTTACAGTGAACGAACAAGGTTTCGAAAAGAAACAGCGGCTTCTGTTTGAGCTACATCGTAGTGAGCAAGATCGATTTGACGTCGAGCTGGTTGCAATCGATATTAACCAGAAAGCGTGGATTGTGGTCAACAGAGATTAGATGTAGAGTTTGTGTAAATCAGCAATCACAGTGACGTAACCCGAAGACCAGTTTCCACTATTGGCAAAACTATGTAAGGAACACGCTTTAAATAGCCTGTTAACATCAGTCCATTATTGAGCTGAATCCACTTAGACATGGGTAGCATTGTCTTATTTCAAGAGAACAACGTTAAAATTAAGTGTCTTCCAGAGTAACTGATGGTTTTTTGTTTCCAGTTTTGGTGAGGAATGCGACGGCTTGTCGGAATCACGGAAACTGTGCCTGGTTTTGGCACCGGTCCAGAGGATAGGCGACGAATCGTGATAAAACGCACAACCATATTTCCCAATCGATTGTGCAGATGATGCATTATAGCGGTTGGAAGTTTACCAAGCTACAAGCAACCTTTAAAGGAGACTTTCACGCACACTTTCCTTTCCAGTTTGACCAAATAAACAACCGGCAAATGTGCTGACAAACTTTATGAGGCATCATTTTAAGGAGAATATTTTGCCTTCCCGAGAATTGTTCCAAATGAAACGTACAACATATTTGTGGAAAGAAAGTTCCAAAAAAAACACCCATTTGGTTCTTCCGTTGCAAACTAGTGATCAACTCTACATATACCTAATTTGTTTTTAAAGGACGAAATAAGATGGATAGGAAGTGGGGGTACCTGACAAGATACAAAGGCCCAAACGGATGGGACTACTTATCAGCACCACTAATATTACTCTAACAAACGAAACATTTTATTGTCCCAGATACCCCTTCGACTGTAACACGAGACAGTCAATATGGAGTATATTTGGTAGCCGGTAATGAGAGCTAATCAGAATACTTTTCAGCAGCTATTGGCCGAGTAAATGTGTTCAAGCCACTGGCCGGAAGTTGGCGGATTTCACGAGACGCGCACTGCTGATGATTCCCAATAAATATGAAGCAGCTATATAATGCTTCTCGAATTTTCACGATAGACTGGCCTTATTGGCAGGTGGTTAGGGGGGCGATATGGCTGAACTGGTTAGAGCGCGAATTTATTGACCGGAGGATCCGTGGTTCGAACCCGACCTCTGCATCTCGACTTCCCCTGCCTAGGCTTGGGCAACCTAGCGGTATCCTAGCCCTCGTGCTTCCTTCGGGTAGCATGGCAGCTAAGCGCCGAAAGGGTGTTGCAGCTGAACGATTGGCAGGACAAAACTCAAGTGGGTATTCATTTGAAGCATAACACAACTGAGACATTCAGTTAATTTTACCGGTAGCTCGTTCACATACGGAGGCTTGCGTTTTGTGTCTGCAAGCCGGACTGTACTTTCGATGCGGAATTGGTGTGACAGCGCAAACTGTTGTGAAGGGCACTTCTGCACTCTCCTGCACTTTCTACTGGGGGGAACGGCAAAGTGAGACGAATATGTAAAGAAAAACTTAAGTTTCCCCAACCCCACATATAATTAACATTAAAACCGGGACAAATATCTCAGATAAAAGAAGATAGTTGGGTCTTCTGGCGCATATTAAATGGTTAATAGCAGCAGCCCCTACCTGAAACTCCAGAATCTAGGGAAACGTGGTAACTAACTTTCCTAGCGAGATTTTGCTTTTCAGCGTTACGATGATCGTTACGGATAAAACTAGTCGTCCTCGGAGGTGGACAGGAATCATCCAAGTTAAACAATACTTCGGTCGCAATTCAATTTTCAGACGGGTTTGGACTTCGGCATATTTTTTACAGGCACCGAGTGTCGTATCCGACTGTATGGAGGTCCAGTAAGCTTCCTCTTCATACCCCCCCCCAGTGTGAGCTACAACCAATAAACAGCCCTATCTTATGGTTCAAAATCAGACATTTAAAAGGGTAAAAGAGACGCTGGACAAAGATTATAGAACTTGATGGTTAAACTAACCGTAAATTTTCTAACGAGGGGTCAATTTATTCAAAATGTGTCTCTCTAACCTGCCACGTGACCAGCGCATATTCGCTGGTCTTTCAGCGGTCTAAAGGGTGGAGAAATATATCGAGTGGTAGTCACTTTGGGAGGGAAGCGTCTGTGATCTAGGGATGTTAGGGCAAATGCATAGCCTATTTCAGAAGAGTTTTCAACCTCTTATTCTAGTTCCAACATTGTAAATTCTCTTCGGAAAGCTTAGAAAAGGACAACGTAAGTATATCAGGAAGATACAAAATACACACAAGATATGGCACTGTTACTGAGTAGGTACACTGCTAAAAATCGGCACCTGAGCCCGAAAAGTACTTAAAATGCGTTTTCTCATACATCCTGCCACTCTGCTCATAAAGTTTCCGAATCACCGCATGTAAAATACCCTTTCAGTAAAACGTTTTTGTCAATCTGAAAATGAAAACAGGCTCCTCAATGTCCCAATTTGTAGTAGCCCGTCAAATCATCACCGTTTCCATAGGGTCGCATGAACACTTTTGAATAGAGTCTCCGTTGATACTCCTACCACATAAGCTAGCATCCCCTGAAGGATGGGCCGTCGGTAAATCTCATAAAACACTCAGGATGAAAAAGTGGTTGAAACTTCTAGCGTTTTCGACACTTAATTTGCCATCCCTATAATCACCTCAATTGACCACTTGTGTGTATAGTGCAGTCACTTCAGCCCACCGTCGAACAGCGTGACTTGCCAAAGCTGATCAGTTTTACAGCACCGGTATTCATTGGCTCCATCCTTTATCCAAAATTCTATTCAACAACCGTAAGCTTTGGAAGCCACAGCTTCATTATTGGCCTGCAAAGTCGTATGCTCGCCCGTCGCCATGACATACAGGGAAAGAGTCTACCTCACTCAACTCCAACAACGCCACTTCGAACATTTTCTCGTGCCTCATTAGCAACCCATCCCGTTTCAGCGACCTACGAAGTTTAGCTAACTTGCCTCTCCCAAAATGCATAATTTTCGATCCTTGACAGAACACATTTCACATAGTCATAATCAAAATCATCTTGTCATCGTCGTGTCTTGTTCAACGTGACCATTCATCCGTGTAGGTCAGTCGTGCTTGCAAACTAAAAACTGTCACTAATTTCATCTTAGTACCTCCGTCACAGGCATGCTGAGGACAATTATTCGGCACGTCCCATAATTATTTTGGAAAACACTCCTCAAGGAGGCATTATCCAGCACAATAACAGAAGTTTCTCTGAATTGCTAGGATGGAGTGTGTTGAGCCTTAACTAATACCGTTTCCTTTGATTTTCCCCAAATATAGTGTCATTGAATGGGGAGAATTGTGAATATCATATCTTACAACACACGACAACCGTCGACATTTGACACTAAATAAGCACTCAATGGTTTTTCTTGAAAGAATCTTCGGTTTGCTTAAACTTTGTTAACGAAGCGTGGCTTAAGCTTACTATGTAGGTTTGTCGAGTACTGCAAACGCTTCGTGCCAAGAAAGATGATCGTTCAGCTGTAACACCCTTTCGGTACCTAACTGTCATGCCACTTGAAGGAAGCTCGAGGGCTGGGATACTGCCAGGTTATCCAAGTCTAGACAGGAGTAGTCGAGTGGTGGATGTCGGGTTCGTACCACGTACCTTCCGGTCAGTCACTTCGTACTCTGACCACTAAGCTAACTCGCCCAAACTGACAATAATAAACTGTAATTTGCACAAAAATCTACGAGGGCCCACTTGACAGCTGAGAAGGTCCACCAGGTTCATATCCTCAACTTTAGACTGGTCCCTTTGGTTTCGTTAGCGAAGTCCACACACAAGATATGGCACTGTTACTGAGTAGGTACACTGCTAAAAATCGGCACCTGAGCCCGAAAAGTACTTAAAATGCGTTTTCTCATACATCCTGCCACTCTGCTCATAAAGTTTCCGAATCACCGCATGTAAAATACCCTTTCAGTAAAACGTTTTTGTCAATCTGAAAATGAAAACAGGCTCCTCAATGTCCCAATTTGTAGTAGCCCGTCAAATCATCACCGTTTCCATAGGGTCGCATGAACACTTTTGAATAGAGTCTCCGTTGATACTCCTACCACATAAGCTAGCATCCCCTGAAGGATGGGCCGTCGGTGTCGACACCCATTTATTCAATAGCTAATCTTGCAGCACTATCTATGGCGTTTGTGGAAGTTGGGCTGTGAGAAGTTGTCTTCATGTATGATCCACATAAAGCAGTTCAAAGTTATTTCGACGTTATGACCTGAGCACTCAGTTGGGTGGTGTGCGGCCGAACGCATTCTTGATATCCCTTACTTGCTACTCTTCAAAACCGGGTAACCGGGACACATTTCAACCCTCGAGCTTCAACCGGGTTATATGGTACATTTCCTTGGCTATTTCACTGTTGTTCGAGCAGCCAAACCTCCAGAGTTCACATCTTTTTTTGAGGCGGTCTCCAATATCTTGGCCTAAGTAATCTAGGTTTGAGTGGGGATCCGCCTCATTGCACTCTCTACGGGCTCACGGTCATGGTTTGATTTGTTTCCGAAACCCATCAACTTCAGCGAGGTTTTATGATCGAAAACTGACAGTAACGCCATTCAGCTTACAAGTATCAGGCAGCACATTTATGTTCCGAGGTCAAGCAACAATCACATGACCCTCCCCACAATGGTTGTTTTCAGAACGCACATGTAACGACGCATTGACACATCCGAATCTATTGGTCTGACCACAGCGATCTTCACTACGAAGGTGATTACAAAAGGCAGCTAACCAGTTCCCATATGGATAAAATCTGCCAAAGAATGGTCGATATGTGTTTTGCACAAATCTTGGTCATTTCGTCCACTTCGTTCTTCTACGACTGAAGCTGACCGTCGGGGGAATTTCTTTGATGAGAGTTGCCAAAAAAACAAGGGGGAACCTGGGGAATTATGGTTCACTCAGAATTTCACAGCGTACTTGGAGGGTTTACAATCAACGCTATATAGTCCTGAGCCATTCAGCCTACGACTTGAATCTGTTTAGGCAGCACTGCTATGAAGCATCTGTGTCAAAACTAGGGTTGCTGCCTTTGATGACGCTGTTGTTTCTGGTGCATCTGATGCTAGTAATGATGCAATGATAGTGACTAAATTCCATCGTCATGTTCCTCATATTGAAATTCAAACTAACTTCTAATCCAGAGCACAAATAAGCCTGCAACTAGCAAGTACCTCTCTCTAAGTGACAAACTACTTCCCAAGTATAAACTGTATCTCAAACACCCGTCGCAAGGATTACCTAGAAATGTACTGGAAAACGGCTGCCTTCAATTAGTGTTCTGGTCTCGCATTCACAAACGGTCCATCTCCAGTGGATGGAGACCTAAAGCTGCCACCTTGACGTGGTGGTCGGGCTTCAGTGCTGCAATGATCCCGCGGGCTACACTGGCTGGAACTTCGTTCCACAAGGTGCAACCATGCCAGGAAGGCCAAAGGGGAGCAGCCAGACCAAGAGCAGCGAGACCCCGTACTACGAGTAATCGTGCTACGAGGCGGTCTGGGGGTAAAGTCGTACTGTCCTCTGCGACAGGAGTGTGAAGGCAGTAAGGTGTTTCCCCCAGGCGACCAGCATGTCCATATTTATGGAAGCAGCGATGCTGCCTTCCCCCGAGGAAGGACGGGTTAGAAAAGGTCGGCCCCAAAAACCGCACACTCCGATCGCCCAACGGTTGACCGTGACCGCCGGCGCATTATCCAATACGGTCGAAATACTTTTAAAACCAAAGAGCCCGGTGCTGCTCAAAAGGCACCTGCTGTGCGCAGCCGCATCAGGAATGAGACAGTAATGCCTTATTCCCTGCGCCCTCGGGTTAGGCCAACTCCCTGCAGCCGAGCAGGTCAGACTGTTGAGTCGTCGGCTCCGGGTAGGGTCCTCAAAGAAAACCACACATTTTCCCACTGCCTCGTGGGTCAGACTTCTGAGTCAGAGGCTAGGGTCAGGGTCCCCGAACGAAATCCCACACTCTCCCACTGCCTCGTGGGTCAGGCTTTTGAGTCAAAGGCTAGGGTCAGGGTCCCCGAACAAAACCCTACGTCATCCCACTGCCTTGTGGGTCAGACGTTTGAGTCAAAGGCTCAAGGTGGGGTACCTCAAACAAACCCCCTTCCTTGGCCTGGGCAACCGGGAAGTATCATTTGCCCGCGCAGTTCGGCGTCCACCGATGTCTCTCCCCAACCCCTTCCCACTGCACAAGCATCTCCAGTGGTCAGATAAACGCTCTACCATCGTCTGTGCGCCAAAATTTGTTCTAGAAACAATGCTTCACTAAGACTAGCTATCCAAAAAAACAATGGACGAATACGTATTCAGACTGCTTCAGAGGATTCAGGTGGCAAGCTTCCTCACCTACTCTCAGGTAGACACCCTGAAGAAACGTATGTGGTTCGCTACACACGGTGACTTGTTTGTGTTACGTTTGTTCCGTTCTGCTATTTACACGAAGCGCCCACTAGATGAAACTTGTCGACCTTATGCATCATTCCCTCTGACATGCATGCGCCCTGCAAGTCGACAAATGGTACTGGAAGATGCAAGCTTCAGACCCTACACACAAAGTAGTTTTACCGCGCAAGCATGCGTCTTTACAACTTTTGACGGGACCCTGAATAAGAAACAGGGCCTCTGGTTCAAATACGAAGGCAGCATCAAGACTAAATCATTCACCCATTCATTCAGATGGATTATGATGGAACCAAAACAGCTAGCTTATTTCGGCCAGTTTAACTAGCCCTAGTGTACTTTTTTATTCGACGGTTTGTGTTACTGTTAGCAAACCATAAGAGACAAAACAAGGCAAGGATTCCGTGTGATTAGTTGAATTTGCTTCAGGCCTCTTTTCAGCATCCCCGAAGATGTTAAATGGCCTACATCAATGGCGCTACCAGTTGACCTACAGGAAATCCCCAAGTAAGGCTGCTCAGACAGTCAACAAGATGTCTGGTAGACGGCACGCTTGTCTGGGGATCTATTCCCGCCCAACCTATAACATCCTTACGAGGGGCGCCACTTAAGGCTCCCGTGAGCCAGTACCTTTATTATCTGTTGTAACAAAGGTTCCATGAGCATGTTCTCTTACATCGAACTCCAAGTTTCCTTGTGAATTTCACGTTTACTTCCGTAATTTTTTACTTATCCTTGATGAACTCATCCTCGCACATCAGAAGACTGATATTCTGTTTTCTGTCTTGTAATACCTATCTCATTTCACAATATACATCGTTCAAGGTTGTACGCCGGCTGGGGTACTGTAAGGACGTTCACACTTAGACAGAAGAACCACTAAACTCCCCAATGAAAACATTTAGTTCAAAAGCCGGACCGTAATGCAGCGGGTTGGTGCTCGTATACAACTACAGTAGTACTATGGTACTACAGTAGCAAACATTTTTTCGAGCTATTCACCACACCTGTTTGAGCCACCGGATTGAAAGACCACGAGACTGTGTCCGTCAGAACTCTATCCACTGACCAGCATGGTATGAGGAACTCTGTGGGTGTCAAAGTGAAATCCCTCTAGTATAATTCAGTGGGTCACAGGGGTACACAAGCCACCACACTGAGGTAAGGTCCATTCTCTTTACAGCGGATTGTTCACGCCATTTCAAGGAAAATTGGGAGTGTAGAGCTACTGAGGGATATTACAGAGGTCCGTTGTGCACCACCAAAATACGGCCTTAGGATATTTCGCACACGCCTATAAGGCACACAAAAACTTACCCTCAAAATAAGAACGAGCATCCTTTCCTGTTCCGTAATTTAAGGGTAACTCCAGTTTCAGACTAGAACTGCAGCTGCTCTTATCGAAATGCGGTACATCTCCAACACTTCCGACAGCACTGCCAAATTGTTCTAAATTCGGTGAAACAGGAAAGCCGAAAGACGACGAAGTAAGTTGCACTTTATCTGATGATACTTCATTGGTTTCGGGGTGTGACCCTATCTGACTATTTCCTGGTGGAAAGTGGGGATAAAATCCTGAATTTGAATAAGAGTTGTACGAGGACCGGAAGAGGGATGGGGTAAATGGACTGAAGTCAACAGGTTCACACTTTGTGGAATAGGTCTCGAGGCCGGGGCATGAGAGGGGTTTTCCAAGAGCACTGATGAAATCAATTGGCTGCAGATGGTCATATCGGGATTCACCATTGTTTGAGTGTCCTTGAGAAGTTGCATTTAGATACGCATGCGGGTCAAAGTCTGCTGATAAGAACTGTCGTTTCCCATTACTCACGAACTGTAGCTCCGATTGCATTGTGTCAACATAGAGCTCTCCTGTTTGAGTGTCATTAGGGGTTGTGCTGTATTCCAGAACTGGTTGTAACATTTGCCTTTTCCTTTGATTTTCAACAGGGTTTTGGTGAGGATACATATGGATTGCGGTAGAATTTTCCGGAATATAGGTATCATTCGAGTGAATCCGTGGTGAAGGGGAGCTCCGACGTCCGGTTAGTGTCAAGTGTACCTGTTTGGATTGGATAACCCACGTCCATACGAACAGAAATTAGTGACCAACCGGCATTCGACGGAAGTTAATCGTTACCATAGATGAACGGTGCAATAATAAAGCTACAGAAATTACCTTTCTGTGGTTTGCTGGCCTATCGTGCTTTTCACACCCCTTTCCATGCTGTAAGAATTTCCAAATCCGACCAATGAGAATGCGGTTACTTGCGCTCCACCACTTTTGATTGGTTCAACGCATCCAAATGTAGCACACACACAGGCGTGACAACGACGACGTTCGACATGCGGCCAGTTGCGACTGCGTCAATGGGGTGGATTGTATCCACACTCTCCGGTGAAACGACTCCACAATCTCCGTATGTTGCTAACTTCCTCTGAGACTAAAATTCATGGACAGTACCCTGAAAATAAGGTGAGGTGCATTGCTGCCAGATGATCCTAACCTGACAAACGATCAAGCTGCAAACACCGGGAACCAGACAGTCGAGTGTGGCCACCGTGAAGCTTCTTCGACGATACCGGCCGTAAATGGCAATGAATGATACCCAGAAGCTGGAATATCTCCACCGATTTACCGACACCTACCACCAATAATACCGAAAACAAACTACGCTCAAGTTGATTTTTATTCTGGAATAGTGCTGTGGTATTTCGCTCTCACTTCAGAGCAACTGCCGATTCAGGTGCAGCATAACAGCTTGCCCCGAAGATCAATTGATAGACGCTTGCAATACCTCCGTTTTCTGGTGAAATGTGAGCCACTGTACAGTTTTACGTGACCAAAAATAGGTCGCCACGAAATTCAAATAGTTTCTTGCTGAAAATCAGATATTCTTTTCTGTCACGCCGATCGACATCTCAAATTACTAGCCACTTCCCTTCATTTAACTAACTTTTACATTGGCGCTGAAACGAATAGCCAACTTGGAAACAGTTCTCCATGAATAGTCTGGGATGTCTGCTTCTTTCTGAGTGGAATATGTTTACTGTACTCAAAGAACAGCTGAATGAGTCTGTAAGGGCGAGTGGTCCAAAGATGAGATTTAGTTGAGGCAACCCACCTTAAGCCTTAGAATCAACAGTCTTACCCACATGGCAATGGAAGGGGACTCTACCCCTAGCCTATGACCCAAAAGTCTGAACCGCAAGGAGGCGTACTTTTTGGGTTTTCTTGAAGGACTCTTACTAAAGCATTATTCTCTGACTCCTGCTGCTGTTCACAGCAGGTGCTATTTCAGCAGCAGTAGTCCCTCCAGTTTTGAAAGTATTCCGACCGTACTGAATGATGTGCAGGTGGTAGCGATAAAACGTTGGATGGTCGAAGTGTGTCCTCTTTAGGATCGACCTTTTCTAATCCGTCATTCCTTGGAGGAACGCAGCATCGCCTCCTCAATGAATGTGGACATGCTGGTTGCCTGAAGGAACCACCTTACTTCCTTTCTTGATCCTTCCTGAGAAGACAGCACGAATTAACCTCTAAACCGCTTCATAGTGTGATTAACAAGGGGATTCATTTCTCTTTTTTCGGAATGCTCCTCTTTGGCCTTCCTGGCATAGCTGAACCTTTAGAAACTGAGTTTCAGACACTATAGCCCACAGGATAATTGCAGCCCGACTACCTCATCAAGGTAACAGCTTTAGGTCAGGAGTGAAGCCAGACGAGACAAACAGATCCATTTGCCGTCAACGCACCATGAGGATCAGCACCTCCAAGGCGTGGCCCTCATTCACTTATCCTGCCTATCCCCCGTAGACAAAGCTATAGCGGTTGGAATCAACGCTCTTCGGCGCACCGGTTTGTGAGCTGAAAAACCGGAGTGAAGTTTGTAGAAAGCCCTTGTAACGAAAATCTCGTTTTGAGTCGAACTACAGTGTTTACTTGTGAATAATGTGTTGCAGTAAGCTTTTCCGGAGAAAACTGTTACTTTGCAGATAGGCAGAGGGAAATTGACTCCTACTTTTGTGAAAACTTCTACTAAGTGTTTATTTCTTCTTTACGGCATAGAAAAGGTGCTGAAAATTCAATGCAACCTCTTGGAAACAGTCGTAAGTATGAGCAGCACTTTGTTCCATAACTCAAGTGTCAAGGTCTGTCGATATGAACATACGTATTCTGCTCCTACCCTTCCGATCTTAAATGGCGCAATTGTTGACCAGATCTAGTGTTCCAGAGGTTCACATTAAGTGGCTCGCATGACCAAGGCCCCCAAAAATAAGTTTTATTTGGTTACTCCAGGGACAATAAAATTACGGAAATCTGTACCTCTCAAATTGAGAGCAATTACCAATAAGGTACTCCTGGTTGTGTGTACTTACACCAAAGATCCGTGGCCGCTTTCTAGGCCACTGAAATTACGACCTGAATCTTGCAACAACGAGGGAACCTGAAGCTGATGATATAATTTTGCATGAATGAAGAGACTCCACAACAGAGTTAATATGACTGACGAGTTGAGCGTATGATAACTTGATCAGGAAAATTAAACAGACACAGTATTCTTGTGCTTAGGTGAATTAGCATTAAGAAAGGTTGGAGATACACAAGGTAGCTGGTGTGACTAGAATGTTACTGTAGGTACTGAATCACCCAGAAATTGCTGAAATCCATAGCAGTGAAACCACACGGTGTGATATTGCTCTGACTCAATAACAATGGCCGGGACGCCAGGGATGGGAACCACTTACCGTTTTAATCGTAGCAAGATGTAGACTGCAGAATTTATCATTACTTGGGATACGCAACAAGTGGTTCCAACTTGACCGATCGCGTCTATCTCTCCTGGATAAAACACACCTCATAACCCATAATTCACTCTCTCCTTGAAGTCATTCTCTCTTTCGAAGGATCCTTCTTGCCAACAAAACCAGGTTGTGTATACTTACACCAAAGATCCGTAGCCGCTCTCTAGGCAGTGAAACTACGACCTGAATCTTGCAACTACGAGGGAACCTGAAGCTGTTGATATCATCTTGCATGAATGAAGAGACTTCACAACAGAGTTAACATGACTGACGGGTTGAGCGTATGATAACTTGATCAGGAAAATTAAACAGACACAGTATTCTTGTGCTTAGGTGAATTAGCATTAAGAAAGGTTGGAGATACACAAGGTAGCTGGTGTGACTAGAATGTTACTGTAGGTACTGAATCACCCAGAAATTGCTGAAATCCATAGCAGTGAAACCACACGGTGTGATATTGCTCTGACTCAATAACAATGGCCGGGACGCCAGGGATGGGAACCACTTACCGTTTTAATCGTAGCAAGATGTAGACTGCAGAATTTATCATTACTTGGGATACGCACCACAACAAGTAGTTCCAACTTGACCGAGCGGGTCTATCTCCCCTTGATAAAACACACCTCATAACCCATAATGCACTCTCTCTTTGAAGTCATTCTCTATTTCGAAGGATCCTTCTTGCCAACAAAACCCTGATCATGCTCATTACATGCAGGCAAAGAGCATCGACGAGCATGCGAAACATCTGTCACTTTCCTTCATTGGCTGACGTTCGAAAATTCTAATAATATCCTTAATTCTAGGGTCACGGGAGATCAGTGATTCTGTGTCACGCGCTCCGTAGTCATCTTGGGCAAAATTTACCTTGCTTCGGAATTCATGACCACATTTGCGCCATCAGTCTATCGTGCTCATCATCCTGCGAGCGAGGTGAGAAACTGGTAAGAAACTAAGAGAAGTGTCTAGCTTTCAACCTTTTCTTATGAAGAACCCTCAACAATGAGCACCCCACAAACCTATGGAAGGACCGGAACCCAAGGCCTTCTCGTAAGCGTTAGGCCTTATAGTACCCATCCACGGGCGGTCGCTTAGCAGAATTGTCAGTAGTAATTAGAGAAGACGCCGATACACCAAGATTACGAGGCATGGTGTTCACCGACTCTCCGGCTGACCTCTCTCTGGGCTAAGTAACTTCCAGGGTTATCCCAGCAAATGGAGTTTCAAAATCCCCACACTGCATACGAGACAAATTCATCCAAGAGTGTATCTTCTGGCTATCATTTATGCTACCTTCGGCCTAAATAAAAGTACACGGAGTTTTCATAATATCGGTTTTTGAGTGAACAAATAACCAAGCGAATATCACTGCTCTGCTAATTAAAGTACATAGGTAGCGCGTGTCAGAGTTCGCAAGCAAGAACTACAAAAGTATTCTCCTAAGTCACACGGCTACTCGGTAATTTAAAAAAAGAAAATGAAAATACACAATGAAAAAACACAATGGAAAAACACAACAGAATTAAGTCATTATCATCGCGTTGTCGATTTTCTTCTGATATGTCACAAACAGCTTTGCTAAAGCCAAACACTGAAGGTGCCTTGGGAACCAAAGGTCACACATAACTTTCCTATATGTACTGCAGTCAGAATGGCATACAATTAAGTAAAAATTTTACGCACAAACCCCCTAAATTTTGATTTTCCGTTTAGTTGCACGCTAGAAGTTCACTAAAAACCAGGCCCTTGACCCATGGACAGCTCCTTTGTGGCGTTTTAGTCCCACAAAGGCCGCCCCGCTGAGAGGAGGCGACAGGACCAACCCCGCACATTTGACGTTGTTCACATTCCTCGAGGCGAAGAACAATGCGTGTCACCAAGGCGGTTCGGAGACGCTCGATCAAGCAATTATTTGATGATCCACGGGTTGACTTATTTATGAAGCACTAAGGGGCTTCACACCGACAATTGTTTGTTTGTCTCTCCCTAAGGCCCAGAGACAAAAATGTTCTCAACTGAGTGTTGTCAAACTACAGGAACATGTGCTGAGCAGAGGGGAGGTGATATTCACTGATGTTAACATCGTTGCTTGTCATTAGAGGGAGAGAAGACAGTTGGTCCAGTCTAGACTATTTACCGTAGTAAGTAATGCTCTGCACGTCCTAACCTAAGCCTATAAGCAGAGGATTTACGACCGTAAATTCGGACTGCAGGGGAAGTCAGGTACGGTACAATAAAAATGGACGGAGCAAAGTGAGGCCATGTTAACAGCATATTGTCCAAGCGTACAGAACTTAAATTCTTTGAGTTAACTGTAAAACTGAGTCTATATTGTGGTGAAACATACGCAGAACGCCTTCGTCACTGTTTCGTTGAGGGATAAGGTAACGGCAAGCATTCGACTTGAAAGTGGCAATATGTTGAGATATTAGTAGCTTGTATGTGTCTGCTGCCTGTTGATCAGACGGCTAGTAATATGTTAACTGAGATCAGCAGCCACATAACTGACGGCCACCCGATTGATGAGCCTTAAAATAAGGACAGCTGAATAACTGTTCCTGACGTTGAAAGATTCATCCATCGGAGTGCGCTAGCTACACCACGCATATAAGTTTGAGGACAAAAGTGCCGT